GTGCCCAACTTCCCCATCTTTTCTCGATGTTTACTGATTTGAAAACCTCTTCCTGGCTAGCTAGCAGCTAGCTGGCTAGAAGTCCGCAGAAGGAGAGTTCACAGACTAATGAGTTGATTTCTTCATCTGGATGAGTGACTCACAGCCACATGCTATCACCACCCAAAGCCAACCACAAAACGTACCACCAACACTTGCAAAATTGACATAAGAGCATAAATTTAGTACAAATTTAGCGCAAAGGCGACAAGAATCGTCCGTGCCTCACCCTAAAATCACAAACACATATTTTTCCTCTTTCCAGTATAGTTTAGGTGTGAGCTGCTGAGTGTTGGCGCTATCGGCTGTAGAGATGTCTGCCCTCTCTCAAATAAAATAGAACTAGATGACACTCAGCTTGTGGTGCTAAAAGCGCCAAAAGCTGCATTTGAAAAACTCAACAGCAATGTCTCTTTCCAGAAATCATGACCCGGTTACTCAAGATAATCTAAAGACCTTGTAATGAGCAATTTCATGTAGGAACTCTTTCGTTTCTACCAAACTACACCCGCCAACGGTATCACTGCGCAGAAGGAAGTGTGCATCTACTGCTAGCTCACCTAGCACCACTGAGCTAGCTTACGTTACAGCTCAGCCGAGGAGGACGCCATTAATGTTTACATCTCACACTGTCACAGCATGAGCCTCTCATACATGAGTAGATGCACTCTTCCTTTTGCGCTGTGATAGCTAGCTGTAAGGTTAGCTAGCTCAGTGGTGTTTGGTGAGCTAGATAGATATGCTTTGTTCAGCACAGTGATACTGTTGGTGGGTGTAGTTTGGTAGACAGAAAATAGTTCCTACATGAAACTGCTCACAACAAGGTCTATGGATTATCTTGAGTTATTGGGTCATGATTTCTGGAGGGAGACAATGCTGTTGAGTTTTTCAAATGTATTTTTTTTTTTTGGGCACTTCACGGCCGATATCTCCAACACTCAGCAGCCTCACACCAAAACAATCTAGACTGATAATTAGCTCAACAAATAAGAGGAAGAACACATGTTTTTGACTTTGCGGTAAACTGCCGCTTCAAATTTCTTTTCAGTAGTGTTTTTATGATATAAAAATGTATTCATCCCATTAGTGTTTCATCTTTTCATAATGACTTAAGTGTTGTTTGGGGCTGTAGTAATATTGGTTTTGCTGTGTGTCACCTTCTTTACTTTAAGCTACATCTCTGGGCTAACCACAGCTGCATTTCCTGTAATCTACCTCAACCTTTTTAAAAACTACACCACACACAGACCATTATCATGGACTCCATGTTTTCACTTTAATATGTCCCCCTGCTACCTGAAGTTGACAAAAAGAAATGTCAGCATGTGCTCAAAATCAGTTACATGTCCTTTACCATTAAATGTGAACAAAGACACACTGAGGCGCTCCTGACTGAATATGTACAGCTCTTTATTTTAATAAAACCATTGTTTATATACAGTTCAAGTGAGATAAAGTTGTATGGTAACCCTCTGCTGTCTCCATGTACGTCCTCTACAGTACAACAGGTCTCTTGAGGGGACAAAAATATCAGACAATGCAAAACAAACAAAACCCAAGAAATGACAGCATATTACATTTTTATTCAAATAAAGTTTGAATTTTGTTTCTGGCCATTGTGGATCATACAGTGTTGCCAGTGTGTGTTTTAGAGGGGCAGGCGGCAGGTAGTGTCGATAGAGCTGGAAGGGTCATTTCATACACAGGCCAGCCTTTAATGTAACAACTAATTAGTAACTGACATTTTACAAATGCCACTTAACAACAAGTACACATGAAACAAACACACACACACACACACTTCAACTTGCATCATCACTACTTGAGCACAAAAAAAAGTCAATGATGGAAAACCCGTTTAAACCTGCGAGCGATCACATGAAGTGATGATGCGAGGCACAACTCAAAGGCGTACATATATGTGCAAAAAGCTTTATTGCAGTCCTGCGGTGTGTCACCACACTGGGGGAATTGGGGGTGGGGGGGAGTGCATCGAGATGAGTGATCAGAAAGCGTGCTGCATGGTGCTGAGCTGTTGCACACACTGAAACACAAATAGTGTACCAGTTAGCGGGCATGAGCCAACCTTAGAAGATAATTTATAAATGAAAGGCGCTTCCTGTTTTTAAAGTGTGTCATACCTCAGCTGTGGTCCGGGCATTTAAAGGGAAACTTCAGTATTTTTTAACCTGGAACCTATTTTCCCACATTTTTGCATCTAAGTGACTGCTAGAGGCAACTATTTTTGAAATCTGACTAGTATTAAAAGAGACGCAAAACAGGCTGCATTGTAATCCCTATGGTCAGTTTACATCCATTAAAAGTGCTTGTTTTTGCCACTGACAGGCTCAGATTGTTATTATGAGTGTCTGACAACATTACAGAAAGGATCCCGACAGAGAAATCAAAAAAAAGATTTTTGAAAGAGACTTGTCCTTGAGCGAGACTTGGTAACAATAACAAACAGACAAGAGGAAGGTAAGGAAAGACGTCTCATGTCCCTGTATGGATCCTTTCTGTAATGTGTCAGACGTTCATAATAACAATCGGAGCCTGTCAGTAGCAAAAACAAGCAAGGATGCGAACTGACAGTACGCAATTGCCCATAGGGATTACAATGCAGCCTGTTTTGCTGTTGTGGCTGCAGCGGACTTGCTTTATACTGGACTAATTAAAAAAATTGTTGTCTCCATTTGTTACTTAGACATAAAAACACGGGAAAATAGGGTCTAATTTGAAAAACACAGACGTTTAACTTTAAGAAAAAAATTGGTATCACCAATAGTACAGTGTACAAAAGTAGCTAAACTCTATCGTACATTAAATCAGATGCACAACACATCAGATGAAACAGCTTCCCAACCAATAACACCGTTACTGTGTTAGAAATGCCACCAGCAGCTTCTTCAGATTCAAGGTTGTTGGCTGAAAACATCTAATAATTCTTTACTAACAGCCCATGAGATATGTGCACTTCTCAACTTTTGTTTCATTTGATTAACAGGTCTATGCAAAATGGGCAATTCACAAAAAAAAAGATATCTAACATTCCAGTATGGGATCATTAGTAAGATGGTACTTCGCTTTCTTATCTGATTATCCAAGAAAATAAATGCAGGTCTATAAACCACTAGCCTTAACTGTTAACTCAAAACAACGCTGGTAATAAAACCTCAACCAACAATGATGCAAATATTGTCCCCACCCACTGCTGGTCAGGATGAAGTGACACATCAACCACAGTGTGAACAGCAGCGTCAGGGCCTTTACACAACGCTGGCGGCCACAAAGCTTAACTGATGACATAGTTTCACGTGCGGGGCCAGGTGACCACTGATGAACACATGTTCTATGTGACAGGAAATAAGAATGTGCAGTGCCAAACAAACTGGCCCCTTATGCAAATGCCTTTGTGAACCTGTGAAACAGTCTCTTTAGCTTGTGTTAAAAGCAGACGAACATGATGACAAACTGCACTGATGGGTGAAATCAGTGATCTGCAAAGCTGAACAACCAGACGGACAGATTCTGTTAAAGGACAGATATGTCACACAAGCTACAGGTCACAATCGGCCACAGATACTCAACAAAAGCTGCACAGTTACCGACAGCTGGTGGTTAAGATGCTGTGTCAAGGCCCTTAGATTACAGTGCCTACAGTACCGTATACACTTGCTTTTAACCACACACACTTGTGTGCATATGTTGACTACTCTGTGTAGGGCTGCCTTTCATTAGCATACAGTGCACTCAGTGTGGTTAAATTAAGTATGTGCATGGGTGGTGAGAGGCTCAGCAGCAACCCTTCATTTGACCGGAACAAGTCCTGTTTATGTCCTTTTGATAAATATTAAATAAATACACAATTTAAAGACATTACACTCACACCAAGACGTCGGGAATCCAAACACTAACAAGCTCAAATGTACCTCAAACAGTAAAGGGACAGTCCACCCCAAAATCAAAAATACACATTTTTCCTTTTACCTGTAGCACTATTTATCAATCTAGATTGTTTTGGTGTGAGTTGCTGAGTGTCAGAGATGTCGGCCGTAGAGATGTCTGCCTTCTTTCCAACACAATGGAACTAGATGACACCTGGTTTGTGGTGCTCAAAGTGCCAAAAAAACATTTGAAAAACTCAACAGCAATGTCTCTTTACAGAAATCATGACCCAGTCAATTAAGATAATCCACAGATCTAGTTGTGAGCAGTTGCATGTCGGAACGCTTTTCTTTTTACCAAACTACACCCACCAATAGTATTGCTGCGCAGAAGGAAGTGTGCATCTACTCATAGACAATAGGCTCATGCTTGTGACAGTGCAACATAATGTTAGTATGTATACAGACATGGATTGCGCGTTCTCTCCGTACTCTGCGTTCAATTCGTCGGTATCTGTGCATGTTTCTTGAAAGTGTACAATACAAACAAGACGAAGCAGTACCACTGGAAACTGTGGGGGTGGTATCACATAGTTCAAGCGAGGTATGACCATGGGGCAAGACGGAGACATTTTAAAAATGGCAGAATGGAACAAAAGAGTAATATAGTAAAACCTTTTTCACTTTCCATTACAAGGTACATCATTACGACCTCCTCCACCATCACCCTCTTTGTTGTTGTCTGAAACTTTGGACTCCGCCCTTTAGTGCCATCTAGTGAAAGTATCTAAGCCAACATAAAGAATGCATGGAAGTATGTGGGCAGTGACGTTTATGACATGTGAAATGAATGGATCTATTTTCGTACACAAAGGGAGTATTAATAGGCCTTAAACATTATTGCCATTCTCCTTGGCTGAGCTGTGACGTTAGCTAGCTCAGTTGTGCTAGGTGAGCTAGCAGTAGATGCACGTTTCCTTCTGCACGGTGATACGGTTGACAGGTGTAGTTTGGTAGAAAGAAAATAGTTCCTACATGAAACTGCTCACAACAAGGTCTGTGGATTATCTTGAGTAATCAGGTCATGATTTCTGGAAAGAGACATTGATGTTGAGTTTTTAAATTTATATTTTTTTGCATTTTGAGCACCCGTGTTATCTAGTTACATCATATTTCGGAGAAGGCAAACATCTCTACAGCCCATATCTGCAACACTCGGCAACTCACCCCAAAACAATCTAGACTGACAAACAGCACTACAAGAAAGAGGGAAAATGTGTGCTTTTGATTTGGGGGTGAACCGTTCCTTTAAGGGTAGGGGACATCCATATGTGACACTGCATGTTGTGTGTGTCTAACAGCAACATGCTTCGATATCAACTCCAGTTTCACTGACATAAATACACTGTAAAACGTGTTTTACAGGCAGCTTATGACCTGTTTTTAGAGGGTTAAAACGAATGTAACAACGTGGTGCTCTCAGAGACACCTAATATGTCTTCAGCATGAAGGTTACGTGCATATCAATGATTTTAACTCAAAATTGAGAGTTGACTTCATGGAATGGTTCAGTGACTACCTGGAAAATACACAAATGTAAAGCACACAGGACAAAATCAAACTGAAGGAATGACTGAAGTTTTGAGGGAAAAAAAGGTGCAGAGACAAAGAGATGGAAAGACGCAAGCTGAGGCTCCACTTAACATATTTCACACCCACAGATCTGACTCTGGTGATGCCACTTCAGGGACTACAGTATTTCTTTCCATGACCAAATCTTTTAGAGATTAGGGAGTCACACTTTGACTTTTGTTTTTGTCATAAAAAGCCACATTTAAAGAAAAGATACAAATAAGTGTTGCTGGAAAGAGCAGCAGAGAATTCAAATCTAAGTGGGCGTAGTAGTAAGTAGTATCTCTGTGACGCCCTCTGCTCTGTGGAGACCTGAATCAGCCTGGTGTACGTGGGAGTGTGTGCGTGATACATTCTTCAGCCTCTGCCAGCTACACTTTGCAGTCCACTGCTGGGCCTCTGAGCACAGGTGAGAGATAAATAAGGCCTCGTATTCCTTTTCACACCCTACCCTCGTTGCTGACAGTCCCCCCTCCCCTCCAGGGTCCTGGTTCCAGTTAGAGCAGTGAGACGGCTCTGGGGATGAGGTTTATCACAGCAGCTACAACCAGATAAGTCCCATTGAAGTTTTCTCAGGTCCATCCGGGCCGGCTGAGAGTCCAGTTTCCCGAGGGCTGGAGGGGAACTGGTTGAGTCTGGTGATGGTTTTTCCTCTAGCGCTTCAGCACCGGGCTGCCTCGCTCCTGATCTTTCTGTAACGCCTGCAAGACCTGAGGAGATGAAGGAAGGTAAAATTTAATTAACAGCACCATCCGAGAACCCTAAAATGCAAAAGCTGTAGCAGCCTACTGTACCTGCGCCCACTTCCTGTTGCGGCTGGTCATGTGGACAGCAGCGATGTGCTGGAAGAGCTGCTCGGCGGGGATGAGGTCAGGCAGGCGGGTGAGGAATTGAGCCATGTGGATGAAGTCCATGCTGGTCAGGACGTCCTGGTAGAGACGCAGCAGGCCCAGCGCCGTGCGGAACAGGAACTCCTCGTTGTCTCTGCAGAACACATCCCACACCCGACATGCCAGGTCCAACGGCAGAGACTTGCTGTACAGAGTGAAGATCCTGGAGGGACGGAGAGGCAAAGTGCATAACACAGTCAGTCACTTAAAACAGATGAAAACAAAAGCAAGCACATGAATATCTGAACATTTGAGATACATTTGCAACTGTATATTATCAATGCAACATTATCAGGCATTTCAAAGTTAGTTGCTTTTATAGTTCCACCTCAAAAACCTCAAGCATTACATTAGTCTGTAGGTTTATTAGCAGAAGGATGAGGCAGAGATGTAAGAAAGAAATGTAAGAAACTCACCAGTCGATTAAATAAATATCTGGGGTCAAGTTATTTTTCTGGAAATGTGCAAAGAGCTTTGGTAGATTTTCTTCAAAGAACACTTCAAATGCCGCAAAGTAAGTCAACATCTGTGAAGAGAGCAGAAGGTGGTCTTATAAAGGAACACACTCACACAGAAGCAACCTGACTGAGTTCAATGAGCAGCGTGCTGAGTCATCTGTGAAAGTGGACAAGTGGTTTCTTTGTCTGAGAGCTGAGTATGGAGGTTTCAATTAAAACCTGCTGCACAAAGCTACACCTCCACATCACTTGCACTGCAGTACTTTCAGTAGAAGTGGCGGTTGTTCAACATTTACTGGCTCCAACTCCAACACAATCTGCTCAGTCTAAGTTGCCATGTTTGTTGTATTTGAAGAAGGATATGGAAATGACCTGTTTTGGTCATGGGGCATATAAACCCCACTGCCAACTAGCGGTCTAGTGGTGTGATCCCACAGTGAAGAAGACACACTACCTTACTTCCTTACTACGTCCTTACTTAAATATGAATACTTGAATGAATACTTGAATATGAATGCTTGTTTCATTAGTCTTCCACACTCAGATCAAATCGAATCGAATTGATCAATAAAATAATCAACAGATTAATCAATAATGAGGAATGACAGTCTCATTTATGTTGTAGTTTTGATGTTGAAAATCTTAAGTGTGTGTGTGTGTGTGTGTGTACTGACAAGGCTGTGGTCAACTCTGAAGAAGGCCATCTGACAGGGCTTGTTGAGCAGGTTGGCAAAAGCTATAAAGGCGTCAGCTGTGTCAAGGTTCAGGATCAGCACTGCTGCGATGAACGACATTCCCTGCACCTAAACACACACACACATACATACACACAGTTTAGAAAAACAAACACAAGACAGAAAAAAAACTGTGGTCTTACTGGGGGCTTGTTGTACAAAAAAAAAGTGTTAAAATGAAGCGTGGACTTTGACTTCCGTTTCTAAAATCGAGGGCAGAGGAAAAAACCCTAATGGCAAGTTCACACCTGCTGAAGGTTAATTTTGCACCATGACTTCATTTACGCTTTCGCTAATTGAAAGCACTCTTATTTAAGCTAATTCAAAACTGTAATTTACAAATCACAAAAAGTTGAGCTGCAATCTGGATATTTCAGATGGAAAGAGAAATGAAATGCTGATGCAGACTAATGCAAAGAGCAAAACCCAAAAACCTGCAGAGAGGTGAATGCATAGATTGTGTGTGTATTTGTGTGTAGCAGCTTATGGGTTGGGGTCAGTACAGGAAGTCACAGTCATTTCTACCAAAGTATAGACAGCGTGGGACTGCAGTGAGGAGCAGTAAGGCAAACCACGGCATCTACCAGAATAATGTGGCTTTGAAAAATTACAGAGGTGCAAACATGAGTTCAATGTAGGAGTACAGCATCAAAGAACATTCATCACATGTTTAAAGCCACCGGCTCATTACAAGGTTTCACACTGGACACAGTGATCATGTGTTGAGTTTCATGTGTGCTGCAGCAGTGATGTGGACATTACGAGAATTAACCACAACCACCATTATATATCTGTCACTGACCTAATTTTACACATTTCTCTGGTTCAGTCAGGGACATATGATTTGTTACTGTAAATACCAAATAAAAATGAATACCAGACTACTGTATTTTGTATGTTATTTTTTGGTGCTTTGAGCACCACAAGCTGAGTGCCATCTAGTTCCATTATATTGGAGAGAAGGCAGACATCTCTACAACCTCTATCTCCAACACTCTGCAACTCACACTAAAACAAGCTAGACTGATAAATAGCACTACAGGTAAGAGGAAAAATATGTGTTTTTGATTTTAGGGTGAACTGTCCCTTTAAGACAGTTGACTGGAAATGACTCTGAATGCAGCATAGTAACTGTGATGTTACTATCAGAAGGTTTCACAAATGTTAACAGTAAAACTGGTATACCTAGGAGCACGTTAACAAAACACAACTTTATTATTATTATTATTTATGAAATAATACCAATAAATAACAATGATTTTTTTTAACTCTAAATACATGACAAACCAGGCCTTATTCAGAGCCCTAATCCATTCCAATTTCATGGAATGCAAATTTTGCTAATCGGATCCAAACCACACTTGAAAAGCCGCGTCACTAGCATAACTACGTAGTTACCGAGGCCTACAAAGTCACCACAGCAGCATCACTTGCAAGACCTAACATTTGATCAGTAGTGGTAATAGTAATTGTACATATCAGCAATTGCATTTGACTAGTTAGAATTCCAATCCAACGTATCCATAATTTAATTCTGACTAGTATCATGTCTAATTAAAGATACCTACAATTCATTTCTCACTATTCAAAAATATTAATTCTGTATTATCAACAATTGAATTCTTACTGGTGGAAATGTCAAATGATCACTGTAGATATCTATGACTTAATCACTACTTGTCAACTTTTGCCATTGACTTCTTATTAGACTCAATTACAGATATCTATAATTCAATTTTGACATGTTATAATGCCAAGTCAACATATCCATAATGTTATTTTGACTAGTTGCAATTCTATTAATGATACCGACAACTCCAGTCTCAATAGTCAAAATGACCATTTTTAATATTCACAATTCAGCTCTTACTAGTGGCAATGTTCACTGTAGAAATCTACTATTGTACTTACATCACAGATATCATAAATGAAATTCTGCATTTCTAAAATTAAATTCTGACTAGTCAACATTAATGTGTTGATTTGTCAGCTTGAAAATGTAACTAGTAAGAATTTATTTTCAGATATCCAGAATTACATTTCAGATCTGAATTACAATTGTAACTTGTGGGAATTTTATTTGTACTATTTATTTGTTTTTATTTATTTATTTGTACTACTGTAACAATTATATTTGAGATATCTACAATTCCTTCTATAACTACAAATTTTAGATTTAAAAATGGGAATTTCCACTAGTCAAAGTGACATTGTAGATCTCTTCAATGATGTACGTACATATGTATCCAAAATTATTATGTTAATTCATAGTCAACCAATAGCTTTGTGGCACTTTGATGATATCAAACTCATATCCAAAATGGTTTGATGATATGTCAGACATATCCGACATGCAACAGTTGATATCTGAAATGGGCAGTTAAATTTCCACTCGTCACAACCCTTTTTCCACATGTGGAAATTCAATTGTTTCATATGTGAGTATGTGTTATTGTTATTCTAACCAATGGAAAATGAATTACTGTTATCTATAAACATCTATTAAATCAAATATATCTGTTAATCAGTTTTGACTCAAAATATAATTTCTGCATGTGAAAATACATTTGTACCACGTCAAATTTGTTTGACAAATATCTTAAATGAGCCTTTTAACAAGTCAAAATGACGTTTTGACATATCTGAAATTTGAAATATAATATATTGCTATAAGTCAGTCCTACTGATTAAATGTTAAAGGCGCTTGCCACAGTGCGGACAGTCTGTCTGAAAGATCTGATCTGAGAAAAAAATTTGATTTGCCAGCAGTCTAAACGTAACCTCTGTGCCCTCAGTGAGAGGAGGAAAAATAATGATGAAATGGAAATCAAATACCAGAAGCTGCCAGTCACACAGACCGCAGTCCAACTTTAGTTATTTCAGATAATAATAGACTCTGAAGGTGTTACGTGGGATCCAGGTCTGTGCTGTGTCATGACTCATTTTTAACCTTTGTAATATACGAGTAGCTACTACTGTACAATACCTTAAGAATTTACCACATATAAAAGAAATTCAGGTATCACACATGTATGGAGAGCCATAACACAATATTCAATGTTTATCCACTTTCCAGGCCACTAGTGAGGCCTGTTTTCTTAAAGGGGCAGTACACAGACTTGTTTGTGTGTGTGTGTGTGTGTGTGTGTGTGTGTGTGTGTGTGTGTGTGTGACTTACGTAGCCAACGTCTGGCCGGTAACAAGTGTATGCTCCCAGAATGCTGTGCAGCACATCATGATATGGCCCGCCCTGATGATTAACAAAGAAATAATGAAGACAATGGATCAAACAGGCCAAAAACACACACACACACACACGCACACACGCACACACACACACACACACACACACACACCCTTTCCTATAAAGTTCAGTGCGATTTATGTTACAATAATGATACACTATGAAAAATGATACAATAATATCAGAGCAATGTGCTGTATCTTGCAGAGGTTACCAGGGTTTATGTTGGTCTGAGTAAAAAGGCAAAATGAGACATCTTCTCAATAATGACAAACAACAGTGTTTTGTACAAATTAAGCTGAGTATTGTTGAGGATGGCTGAGTTCTCACTGACCTGCTGGAAGATACATAGTTGGGGGAAGGTTCTTGAGATGTCCAGCTTGATCAGCTCCAGGCTCGACTCCCGATCTGATGAACCAGCATCTGGAAGACATCGCAAAGCATTAGGAATCAAGGGGAAAAACAAAAAAAGATCATAAAACACATTAAGTATAACCTCTAATCTGACATGCAAAGCTACTTTACTTTTTTGTTAAGTTAAGTTAAGATGAGTTTAGTTGCACTGATCTTTGAATTAATATGACCAAAATGATGGAAACAAGCAGAAGATTTTTATTCTGTCTCTACCTTCAGTTTCGGTTTCTATGGAAGGTGCTGCCGTGTTCCTCCACTTTTCTTTTGCCCGGGCCAAACAAATGTTATACAGCTCTGCAGGGACACATAACAACACCACAGTACAATCAATATGAGAGAGAGAGAGGCAGACAAGAGGCTACAGACACTGAGTGTAGAACACGATGACTGGACAGAAACCGCTTCAGGTGATAAAAGCATTCAGCTCTTGACATTACTCTGCAGCAGTTACACTAAGGGTGATTACAGGATCTTGGTGCAGTACATTGAATCTCCGAGCCTGTGCTTTGATCTGTGGCTGCCCTCTAGTGATGAGACACTGGATGGATATAATGAGATTTCTGAGACATGACGTGGAGCACTGCACTGGTGGCCCTGACCTGAAAGAAGATTCATATTAACTGCAGAAAATGGCAACTACAGGCCATGCTGAGCAGGCGTGCAAGAAGCTGAGATAAGAACAGCAGTCTAATGTGAAAATATACTTTAGGGATATAAGAGCAATTGTATTAACATATATATGCACTGTATATATTAACAACAACATTTTTTGTAATGAGTCTACAATGTAATGCAGTGGGACTTTAAAATGGTTTCTCACAAGAAACACAACTCTAAGCTACTATAATTCTGAATGGATTAACAGATTCCTTTTTTTTTTTTTAAATGTTGAAAATAATGTGTTACTGACTAGATGAAAACAAACAAACTAACTAAATAACAATATATTTTTTTTCACACTTATAATTACCTCCACCAAGGAGATTGTGTTTTTGGTTTGGAAAAACTACTGGCTTGATATTCATGAAATTTGGTGGAAGGGTGTAGGATGAGCCAAGGGAGACGCCATTAAATATCGGAGCGGATCCAAATAATGGGGCAGACACAAAAATTATTTTTCTCTCTCAGTAATGTTGCGAGATAGGGCATTTGGCCTCGAGGGAGATCGGTGCTCTCTGAGTGAGTATGAGCGTCTGTATCTGTCTCTTCGCAGCTAAACTCACACACTACTGGACCAATCAGACTAATACCTAATATCAGCCTAATTTGTGTGCACATTTATGACTATATGCTCAAGGACCTCTCATGGTTGCTGTGATTTACAATTGTTGAAAAACCTGTTTTGTTGATTGATACAGTCTCTGACTGCAGACTGCTTACTGTTGCAGGACATGTCTAAGCCTTCATCATGGCTCAAAAACTGATGCCCATAGAAAAGTTTGGTCTCATTTGGGACTGGAGCATCTGCAGATTAAATCCATACCCAATTTGTTATGATCCATTGCAGTTAGGCACAATACAAAATGAATAAGTCATCTGTTTTTGTTATCTTTGCCGCCATCTTGACTGTAAAGGAGCCGGAAAGGACAATTCCACCGGGCTAAGCTGTGCCACATTCCGTTTGCCACGGCTGCAACCTGGTTTTGTTAGATCTCCCGCAGGGTCATGCCACTCCAAGAGCATTTCAGGAGTGTAGTGTTTTGCCAGCCTGATTTGATAGACTTGCAGATTTTGTTGATTTGGTCATTTTTTCTTGATATTTGTACTTCTACCATAGGTAAGTAAGCAGGCTCCGAAGTTAAATGGTTTCTTTTTGGGTCTGTTTTAATTGAGTTTATTGATGCTATTTCCTTCGTTGTTGTGCTGTAGCCTACAAAGTTAATATTGTTAAAGTCTAGGTGAATACATAGATTATTTCTGAATGCTTTATTTAAAATACATTCATCCTCATCACTACATTTTATCTATATGACACATACAGTGCCTGTTGGCAGGAAAACGTAAGCTGTCCTGTGCAACATGCTGCAACTCTGTCAAAAATAGACATGGTCGGCATGTGTTTTAGCTTCTGGGACACTTCTGAAAAGCGGTGCGCTGCTTCTGCTGCAGTTGCAGCCAGCCCAGGCAGCCACTTGGTGGAGATCTGCGATCTACTGAACTCACTTTCCTAGTTATTCATTGTTGTACTTCTACCTGGGGGATAATCACACTCTAAGTTTTGGAACTTCAGTTCCCATTGTTGAACAGCCAACATTTATTTATCATTTTGGCATTAATAGTATGCTGAATTAGTTATTAGCAGTTCCTGTCTACGATATATCCATAAGTGTACACAACTTTCAGTGGATTAGTTTGACATCAAAGATAGAGGTAACATCATAAGGAAGCACAGGTCACACTGAACCCAAAAATATGTGTAAAATGTCTGTGTTCAGATTTCACCTTTAAATTTTATTGCACTTCTGTCCCAAATAGCAGCATTAATAACAGTCACCACTTAGCAGTAGAATACATTAGAAGCAAGAGCAGAGCTTTCCATTTACATTAGACGTACTAGCAGCTGTAGGCTTGCAGTGCTGTGGCAAGAATACAAGTACTAACAGCGGTAACCTCAGAACCAGTAGAAGTAGCAAATTTAGCAACAGTAGAAATGTTAGCAGTAGCAATAACAGCAGTAATAAAACTACTTCACTTAAAATGGGGGAATACTGTCACTGAGCTGCTACTAGAACAAGACAGACAACATTAAAGAGGACTGAGCTCTGTGTGTGTGTGTGTGTGTGTGTGTAGAGTGCTAATGCATAGGACTGTGCTCCATTTAAAAGGCTGAGTAGTACAAAGCAGAGTGGGCCAGCTCAGCAGTCACTGAGTGCTTATCTGCAAGCAGCCCTGAGGGTGCTGAGGAGCTTTCACCGAGCAATACGAAGTTGGTGCTCTTTCTCGATGTGGATGAATCTGCAGTGTGTGTTTTCGTGTGTGTGTATAATCTCCATCCAGACTTGACAACTCATTGAAATGCTGCTTGCTCCCTCTTGCACTGGGGATTAATTGGCCTATGCTCACTCTTAATGGATACACTCTTCCTTCCTCTTCTATCCATCTCACAGCCACGTATTCAATTACAAACACTGAGACAAGCTGCTACACCCATCTGTGTGTATGTGTGTGCGTGTGGGTGTGTGTGTGTGTGTGTGTATATATGTGTGTATGTGTGTGTGTGTGTGTGTGTATATATACAATATATATGTACAAAGAGCAGTCAGGTAACCGTGCAGACCAGGACATGACTAATGTTAAGTACAGTTATGGCAATTATAAGCCATAAATAACACACTCTCAGATGCACACTCTCTCACTGCCACGTACCATGTGTGATGTTGAGATCGTTGCCCACAGCCAGGCTCCACACTTTGCCTCTTACACTGGGGGGGATGCCCTGCCACCAGAGGTCTCTCACTCGTCGAGACGTACACCTGAAGGAAGGTTAAGTGTTGAGAGTTTAGCACATCAGATGTTGCTTAATATCATTTATTGATCAGAGCCACAAGGTGGCAGTCACTGATTCTACTTTAAGTCCCTTTGGAGTGACAGTAATCCTTCACTCATACATTATCAACTCATATTTTACACCTTGTTATTGCCATATTTCCCAACCCAATTCATGGTCCTCCAGTTGTATTGTTGAGTTAATATAAATGGTATTACAGTTGCTTTAACAGGAAGAAAAAAAGTCTCCTTATGGTTAAGGAGACTTTTTGGAGATTTTGAAAGATTTTGTCACACACTGAAGATACTTACTTATTAAGGAAAGATCACATGGACAGAAACTCTAACAAACACCTCCCAAATTTTCACATTAGGTATATGAATAGGAACCTTCACCGAAGTACTACACCTGTAGATATGGGAATATCTCGGAATACTTAAAAAAATGAGATTTATTGATTGAAAAATGATGCTTCTATGATCAGAACTGTGTCCATAGCAACGGACTGTAATGCTGTGTTCACTGAAATCAGGCAGACAGTGGACGGCATGCTGGATATCATTTTAGTGCCTGAGAGCAGGACGGTAGAATCAGGTGAGACCAGCAGAGACTACCAGACACGGTGATGGTAGACAGCACTGCCGTCCAAAGTTAAAATATTTTAACTTTATGCCATCCTCCGCAACAGAATTTACAACTGGATGTTGTGTAGCTACACAACACAAAGCAAAAACACGGGCGATCTGGAAAATGACTGGACATTACAAGAATAACTAGAGCACTCGGAGAGCGCAGACCTCCGCCAAGCAGCTCAGATTTCCCGCCATTTTATTATTTTATCCACTTCACTTCAACCGTTCACCACCAAAATTTTATCATCTGTTCCTTGTCCCATTATCAACCTTTCCTGAAAATTTCATCAAAATCCGTTCAGAACTTTGAGTTATTTTGCAGACAAACAGACAAACGCCGGCAAAAACATAACTTCTTTGGCAGAGGTAATAACACTAGAAGATCTATCTATAACAGAAGATCTATACAATCAGCACAGTTTCCTTTGACCTTCGACCACCAAATTCTCATCAATTTATTCTTGGGTCCAAGTGGATGTTTGTGCCAAATTTGAACAAATTCCCTCAAGGTCTTCTGAGATATCGCGTTCCCAAGAATGAGACAGAGGCTGTCAGAGTGATCTTGACCTTTGGCCACCAAAATCTAATCCTATCGTTGAGCCCACGTGGACGTTTGTGCCAAATTTAAAGAAATACCCTTCAGGCCTTCTTCGTCACAAGTTTGGGACCGATGGGCAGACAGACAATCCGAAAACATAATGCCTCTTGCCACGGCTACTGCCAGCGTGGGGGCATAATAATAAACACAAAATAATCTATTCACTATATTTTACTTCATTCTTTGTAAACAATTGGACATCACCATCGCAATATTTCATCATGCATGTTTCATTTTACCGTCCTGCCATTCCGTTCAACTGTTTGTTTTTCACGCGCTGTCCAGGAGGTGTTGCCCATGTGCCAATCGCCTGATTCCATATGAATGCAGCATTATTCAGAAATAACTGAGTGTAGAATGGCGTAATCGACCAATCAGAATCAAGTATTTAAAAAAAGCCATTCAATAAGACTGTATGAAAAAGGCACTGACGTTGACATCAGTTCAAAACAACATGCTAGAATGAATATGTGGCGGCTTTGCCTGTCAAACAGGTTGTGTTTTGTTAATTTCATAATGGATCATGATGTCAGCATATGATGTGTTTGGATTTTCTCCCCACAGTGCTCGTCTGCAACAGCTGTTCAGTGTAATGATCGGTAATGATAATTTGATGCATAGTAGAGAACACCGACAATCAGTATTCCCCATGTAGGCCTTAAGGTTATAATATCTTGATGATCATTTCATAGATGACTTAATTAATGACTGAGATATACACTATATTGACGGTGTAATACATTTGATGCTCAGGGCAACACACTTGTACTTGGATTTCATGTATAAAACTGAGGGCCTGGTCATTCAGATTCCTACATTTACTTCTATACTGTGGTGCTTAAAAAAACAGTATGCTGAAATATACAGTCACTTACAATGATGCCATCAAGACAGTAACATCCTCACGTTTGCCAAGATTTTTAAGTGCTAGCCATAAGTTACTGAGTACAAATGTGGGCACAGAACACGATATTGTTTCTCTTTTTCTTCTGTGGACTATGAAATTAAGAGAAGTGACTAAACTGTATGGTCAGGTGTATGGTCATTACTTGTGTTGGTGTGGAAACTGATCCTCTCATACACCCACACAAACAAAAGTGGAACTTAGAAAACCCAACTATTTATGAAAAAGAACAACTGACATGCTCACAGTGCTTCCCAAATAAACCTGGATGCTTTTCAACTTTTATTTTCCACGACAGGTCAAGTTACCAGTACCAATAGGAAACAAACAAAAAAACAAAAGAGTTCAGAATTCTTTTCTGAAGTTACAATTCTTTGTTTAAAGTACTAAATTTTTTTGTCCATCAGTGTTTGTACTGGTAAATCCCTTCTCTGTACAAACAAGTGCCTACTTCAGTATTTTTATCATTCCAAACTCAGTCGTTGTTCGTACTCACATTGTGCTCCAGTTAGGTAAGATCTCCTGGTTCCAGATCTGGGCGGCTGTGCCAATGCTCTCCTCGAGCTTACACCGATCCTCCAGCTGCTTCTTTCGCTTCTGAGCCTCCTTCAACTCTACAGACAGCAAAGTGGAGAAAACATCAGTTGTTGATGTTTGGCAAGACAGGAGGGACACAACTACATAGTGATGGTTGGTTCGTAGCTGTGGTGGATTTCAGAGCTCCAGAGATGACCTGACCTCGGGCACTCACAGGAGAATGGCATCAATCCTTTGGATGATACGATATTTGCCAATATCACAAACTCCGCCACAATATGATTTCAATTTGATGCGATTCAGGGGCCTGTGATCGATATGTGATGATATCATATGCAAATTTATCACTCACAATTAAAGTGGAAGCTGTCATCCCTGTTTTTGTGCATTTGGCCATGAGAGATAAAAACACCACATAAATCATCTGAAGTCACTGTAACTGACTCCGCTAATACACATAAAACCGCATATGGGATGAGTTAACCATCGGGCTTTCTGCAAGAAATCTTTTCATATCAACCCAAACCATGATCTTTTTCCTAAAACGTCAGGCTATCTGGCTTACACCTCTGAAGGCAAACCTCTCTCAACAGCCATGGACTAACAAAAAAACTAATTTAACAAAAGTATAAAATTCAGCTCAATAATAACTGTCAAGTTTAATAAATAAACGAGTGTTTTTTGCAAGTCACCCATTATTAGCTTAAGCACTTCTGCATTGCATAAATTAGCCAAAGTGAAGAGTTAGTGGAGTGAGGAGTTTAATTAGGTGGCTTTAGAGGAAGTGGACAAAACTTCAACAATGCATTGCGCAGTTTGCTCCAAGTTTGAGAGCAAGGTGGATAAGCAGGGGTTGTTTGTTTGTTTGTTTCATAGCAATTACCTTTAATATTTGTTTTCTTTGATAACCACTAATACATACAACAGTTTGCACAGGGACAAGTAAATACTGACTTACTGACAGTAACGTTAAACCTGCCTCACTTCTGCCCCTGAACGCTCTGGAAGAATACAGTAAAGGAAAACATTGATTACTCTGTCAAATGAGCTCACCTCTCTTCTTGGCCTGGGCCACCATCTCTTCATATTGCTGTCTGTGTTTCTGGGCCTCCTCGGCTGGCTTGGCAGGCAGGTTACTGTAACACACAAACATGAGCACAGAGAAATGGATGAGGAACTACATGTCCTCTGAGCTTAACATGCATTATTCATGTTGGGCAACTTGTGTGCTATAAAGAGAAAACATACACAGACAGAATAACAGAGCAGGAGATGTTGCCTGACTTCAGCCTTGTATCTTGCCTGTGCTTATGAAGTAAACTTTGATCCAATTGACATTTGCATATCACATGATGTCATTTCTTCTTCTATTAATCAAACTAACCAGCATGCATTTTCCAGCTTTTTCCGAACCCTGGGATATGGTTGAAAGCCCCAGAAAAAAAGCTAATAAGTGGTCATTTTGTAAATTTCAGTGATGGAAATGTATTTTAGAATTTATTTTTACTAGAAATATGATCTTCTTTTTCACTTTTTGAAAATAAATGCACTTTTGAACTACTATTCTATGTCTAACTTCTATTCTACAAATACAGATAAATTGTGCACTCTAATTTTACTGGCCAATAGCACTGAAACTTTAATGTACTATGTGCATTTTTCTGCACTATTTTTACCAGTAGGGGGTGACAGTAAAGAGGGAAAATAGGTGTGAGGTTGCACACAGCTGCTGAACTTTGCCAGTCAAGGTGTTAGAATAAACTTCCTCATGTTCACACAGGAAATCAGGCTAAGTTATACTATTGTTTTTTTTCACCATGTTCCCCTAGCAGAAGTGCTAATGCTGCAGCTGAGTTAGCACCACTCATTGAAACATGAGGGCAACTTTATGTCTGTTATTTGTTCTCAAAATGTAAAATGGTCTAAAAAGAAAGGTAATGGAGCCAGGCTGAGGGAGGGCCATTAAACTTTCAGCAGCACCTCTCTTTTACCCTCTGTGATACAAACAGGGACACAGCGAGAGCTGGAACAATGCTGAATGGAGTCTAATGACACATGAAGGAGGACTGATAAAGAAGGAATGAAGGGAAGATAAAGACTGGACAGACAACAGACATGGCTTTGTTGTCTGATGAGCAAACTACACTGGCAGCAAGGAAAATGTGGGATAGTCTAATAACCTAAGGATCTAAGACAGTGTGTCTGTGTGTTTACATACGCAGGTCTGTCCTCCAGTATAAGTGCAGTGGTGGAGAGGGGCTCAAAGTCCAGGTTTTTCCTCACACCCTGCCTGGGAGATGTCGGGTTGCCAGGTCCAGCTCTGCCACTCTTTGTTTCATATTCCTGAAAAAAAAACAAAAACACAGGATTTAGACGCAAGTTGAGTTTTAATTATAACAAAATGGTTTAGTCTGCAACATTTACACACACACACACACACACACACACACACACACACACACACACACAGGAAAAAACTGATGGATAAGTTACTTTATATTCCATTTTAAAATCTGAACAGGTCATGCTTTGCAGCTCCATAGCCAGAGAAAGTAGGCACAAGGGCCACCAGCCGGTTAAGAGGAGTGCAGAGTCAGCAGCCAACAACAGTAAAAAATAGTAAAAAAAAATAAAAAAATAAAAAATGTTTTTCAACGATTGAGAATCACAGCAACAATGACAGGTCCTTGAGCATACAGTAACAAATGTGCACACAAAATCTGAGAGCAGCTGCAGACAGATTGATTCGAACTGGTGGATAAGTTACTTTATATTCTATGTACAACAGTAATAGGACATGCTATGCAGCTCCAAAGCCAGAGAAAATAACCATAGGGGTCACAGCTGACCTCAGAACTACTGGTCAGATACAGACTACTAGCATTTAATGGGCGAGGAGAGGAGAGGGAAGGAAATGAAAAAATGAAGAGCAATAATAAGAGAGAGAACTATGTGTGCATTAAGTCGCACATAAACACTGAGAAATGTCTTGACAACCTTGTGACACTGCTCTTTTGGCCTCTGAGCATTTGTCAGCTGGTGTCTAATGACTGTAGGGTTTCTGCCCCACCACTGGGAGTATGATGCAGGCCTATAGAAAGAGGAGGCCATGTGACATGCAGTCTGTTACAGCTGAGCCCGCAGAGGAGTTTAACACAAGGCCAACTATCAGCTGACTTACAGGTTCTGTGTGTATGTGTGTGGTAGCGGCTCTAAATTTAAAGGGACAGTTCACCCCAAAATCAAAAACACTTGGCTTGTGGTGCTCAAAGTGCCAAAAAATTATATTTGAAAAACACAACAGCAATGTCTCTTTCAAGAAATCATGACCTGGTTACTCAAGATAATTCACAGACCTTGTTGTGAGCAGTTTCATGTAGGAACTATTTTCTTACCTGCCAACTGCATCACCACGCAAAAGGATGCATGCTTTTAGCCAACGTTACAGCTCAGCCAAGAGCAGGCTATTAATGTTTACATCTCACGCTGCTGCAAACACAACCCTCTCATCCATGAGTAGATGCATGCTCCCTTCTGCTCGTTGAAACGGTTGGCAGAAACTTTAACTAAAACAAGGGGAAATATGTATTCTTGATTTTGGGGTGAATTGTCCCTTTAAGTACAGCATTAGTCAGCTGAAAGGTGGTGCAAATAGTTCAGGGAACTGTTGGAATACACTACATTGTAAGTAGGAAGCTACTGTAAATAGGATAAGTGCAATATGAGCACACACCCCAATGGGTGTCCAAAATGGCCTCCAGTGTGCATTGAGCTGGTTAATAATGCAGGCTGAGGACTGCAAGCAATCAGCTTAACACAGTGCTGCCACAGGGACGTTCACATTGATCAGTGCAGGCCACAATACAGACAGGAAAATCTATTCCTTCAATACGAGCGTGTGAGTGTGCATGCGCGAGTGTCAGTGATGCAGCCCTTGTTATTAATCTGTCTTTGTGTTGCTGTCTGTTGTACCAGATCCTGTGGGATGAATAAAGGTAATTGAATCAGATTCAAAAGGGCAGGGCATAACATAACAAAAGTAAAAGGAGAGAGATAAAAAGACATAAAGACATCACAAACTATTGAAATACCCATAATAACCTTAACTGAGTGCTCGTGCACACCACTGAGTTCAAACACAGGTGCACGAGTTGTGTGAGAGGTTGTAAACTGATTTTTTTCCATATAGTTTTGCCGCTGTTTAACAGGGACCCCATTTACCCAAATCCATCAAAAACTTTCGCCTTTTTTGGATTCTTCATTTATCATGGAGGCATGTGGAAAAAACAGTTTTCTTCACAAATTCAATGTAACCTGGGTAATTGAAACACAAATAATAATTCTGTGGGTAAGTTTGTCTTTAAGGAGTAAACTGACATGTGGAACACACACACACACACTTCTTTCTTGGTGAGACTGATGAAATTGAAACTGTCACATCTCTTAAATATAAAGCTAGGAGACGATTAGTTTAGCTAAGCTTAGTATAAAAAGTGAAGGCTAAGGGAAAAGAGCCAGTTGTGGTTTTAAAGGGAGGTTTATGCAGGACTTTCTTTATATCTAGTGGGCAGATAGGAAAGTTGAATTGAACTTCTCATCCAAACTCCTATCAACAAAGCAAAAAAGAGTGAATGAAATAGCTGAAAACTCAAAGAAAGCAGAAAATTTAGCTTTAAAGGGGAGTAAACACAAAGTGGCAGTCATCAGTATACACTTTCCTTATCTTGCAAAGACACAAGAAAGACCTTCCCAGAAAAACAGTGGCCACATTTCAAAGTGACAGCAGGGTATCATCTTATTCGCACACAGCAGGGAAGCTGCTTATGTGAAAATAAATGGACCAGAGTGATAGAACGGAGTTTGGAGATGATGGGAAAGCCTGAGAGTAAATGCCAAAACATCTCTTGAGGATTGGGTGTGAAGGGAGAGCAGTTGACACAGAAGACAGACGCAAATGAGGGCAATGATGGGGAAAGAGTGAGGCAGGAAGTTAAGAGTGCTAATTGAAAACCATTCCTCCGCCGCTGGAGAACGGAGGTGATTCATGGGTAAGACTGCACTCAGCACTGGGATGAGAGTAGTCCTATACACAGAGGGTGAGTCACCATTCTCATGTGTGTACTTTCCCCTACTTTTCTTCTTCTTTGCTATCTATATCCTCACTTTCATCTGCTCTGCATCTGTCTATCATCCCTAAATCCCCTAGAAGCTTTGTGACTTGGTGACTATTTGTAGTGCCAGTTGATTACCTACTGTAGCTTGCAAGTTAACCTATAACAAGCTGAGAACATGCTAGCACTAGACACTAAAATAGCCCTCTAACTAAATTGTTAATAGTCAGTTAGCAACAGAGCTAGCTTGGTCGCTAATGGGCCAGCAAGCCTCCAGTTTATTCAGGAAAGAGAATTAAAAAAATGGATGGTGTAACACAACTGACAAGATAGCTTTCTCACAAAACAATATTTTTCCTTGTGTTAATGACTGACAGAGTTTGCCTTTGTTATTATTTAGCCTCATGTAGTGGTGGACTTCAGTTCGCTGCGGGGCAGGGCCAAAAAAATAACAAGGTCACCAGCACACATTAAGCTGTCTAGCATGTAGGCCTGTTTTTCTCAGTTTTAAAGCCACCTAGTAGCGCACTACATCTCAATTTCTCCCCTGGAAGGACACTTGATCATGTTTTTCCTACTTGAAGGGCACCCTAGAGGGCCCTACATCATTTTTTAATTACTATAGGTGCATCCAGGGTACGGAATTAATCTGCAGATGCTCTTTTTTAAAATGAGACCGAACTTTGTTTTTATGGATGTCGGATTTTGAGCCACAGCGAAGGCCAAAATGTGGCCTGCAACACACTAGGTATGGCTTGTTGAGACAATTTCTTAAAAACTTAGGGCCCCTACAAGCTTGTTAGAGAAGTGAGGAGACAGCAGCTGACGACAGTTAAAAACAGTCACTAAAAAAAGTTTTTTAACAACTGTGAATCAACCCAACCACATGGGTCCTTGAGTGTACAGTCATTAATGTACACACAAAGTATAAGGCTGATTGGTCCAGTAGTTTAGCTGTAAACAGACAGATTCAAACACTCACAGACGCACATGCACAACCAACCACATGATCCCTCCGAGCTTACGCCTGGCAGAGATAATGAATAGGTTAACGTGCCTGTATTGTTGCTTGGTTTATTAAAGACTGTGCGTACCCAAGGGAACGCCTGCAGGTCGATAAAAAAGGTTAACTGGAGCTTTGCACCCTGAGAATAAATGGAGACTGCAGAGAGAGGAAAATGAGTGTGAGGTACAGTGGGGGAGGAGGAGGGAAGGAGCAATTTGGCATCTGTCCAGCAGCAATGCAGGTGCTACCAACAAGGTGAAACAAAAGACAGGATGTGCGTGAAGCTGCACAGAGGTGTGTGTGGAAGGGAAGATTTGTGTGAATGTGATGTGAGAACAAGTACGGTACAAACAGTGAAGTAAGCGGTATCGAAGTATTTCAAGTATGTGAGGAGGAGAAACTACGAAAAATGACAAGCTACAACAGTAACAAACAAACTGATGGTGACAAATTAAGTTATATTCCTATTAATGGCTATCGGGCAGCACAAATGAAATAATAAAAACTCCAACAACAATGATAAGAAACTCCTCCTTATCCCCTCACTTTTACGCTGGAACTTTACTCTCTGTGTGGTGTGGTAGCTTTCAGCTGCTGGAATAGCAACTGTATCCCATGATAATCTGCCACCAGGGCAACCAGCTTTGTCACGCTGCTTTTCAGTTGTTCTCCAATTTCCTGGTAGTGGTGTGAGAGCTCTCCGGCTGCACTGACTGGCTAGCTGGCTGCTAATGGCCTTTATGCTCTAAGAAGCAGCTCTCTGAAGATGACATCAAGTTGTTTTCGTATTCAGAACTTGTCTGTACATAGCATCACACTATGTGGCCTTACAACGTTATACACAATTATACTGAAGTTCTGCTTGGGTAAGAGCATGTTGGTATGTTACGCAAAAAGACACAAAGTGGGCTTGAAAAGACAGTTCCCATAGAGATGTTGGTCAAACTCTCCTACTGTGTCACCTTGGATTAGAACTTATGCATCCTATCCTCATGAAAACACCACTGGCTTTCTCAATAATGAAATCTACGAGATGAAAAGCCACAACAGGGTGCTTAGCCTGGTTTTCCTGCATGCCAAACACAGCTTTTCACTGGAAACTGCTTGAGGCAGTCCAAAAGTAATTTCCAAAGCAAATCAAGCACAGAACAATGAATGAATGAGTAAGACGGCTTCTGTGGTTGGCTGTATTTAGGGGTGTGTGTGTGTGTGTGTTTGGCAGCTAT